TGTGTGTGTGTGTGTGTGTGAGAGAGAGAGAGAGAGAGAGAGAGAGAGAGAGAGAGAGAGAGAGAGAGAGAGAGAGAGAGAGAGAGAGAGGTTGCGGTGGAGAAGGTAACGAAATGGGTCAGGGGGAAGCCGGAATTGGCTTTTGGGGGAAGGGCGTTTGACACAAGGGATAGGGAGGGAGGGATCTATCTGGTGGGGGTAGGAGGGAAGGGAGGAATCGATCTGGTGGGGAGAGGGAGGGAGGAATCGCTGTTATTGGGACAAAGGGGAGTGACAGTCAGAGAGATAGAGAGATCGGGTGGCGGGGAAGGAAGGACTGCCAGTCCTTTTCCCCTTCCACAAAGCAAGTATGCAGGAAAGATAGGTGGAGTATATGCGCACGAAAGGTGCAGGAGAGAGAGGTAGAGCACAGTTACCGCAGAGCTAAGGAACTTCTCTCCGGTAGCTAAAGTTACCAAAGCGCTAAGGAACTGGTCTTCGGTAACTGCAAAGTTACCGAAGCGCTAAGGAACTGGTCTTCAGTAACTTTGCGACAAAGTTACCGAAGAGCTAAGGAACTGCTCTTCGGTAACTGCAACTGCTCTTCGGTAACTGCGAAGTTACCGAAGCGCTAAGGAACTGGTCTTTGGTAACTGCGAAGTTACCGGAGAGCTAAGAAACTTCTCTCCGGTAACTGCAAAGTTACCCAAGAGCTAAGGCACTGCACGCACAACAAAGCTGCAGGAAAAGGTGAGAGCAGTTAATCTGGAGGAAAGGTGAACAACCACTCTTTGATAATAGCCTCCTCAAGGATCCCCAGGGATGTGTCCTTCACTGTACGGATTCTCCCTGGAAAGGGTGGGTTAAAAATGGTATTGTTAGGATAAAAGACATCTGGGACAGTGAAAAAAGAGAATGGATAACCCCTTTACAATTACAAACCCATCTTAGATATTGTCATCATTCTGAGAAAGCCTAAGAAAATATAATTGATTGTATTCCACTGGATTGGGTAAGGATTTTCAAAAAGGGACCTCAGATATTGGAAAGTGATTGGGTGGCTATAAAAGATCATCCAGGGGTATTAGGCAATGTTGTTATAGTATTGGAAAACAGGGAAGTCCTCCTTACCACATATAAATTGGACAGTAATTTTAATGTTATAATCAATAATCAGAACAATATAGTAAAAGAACAAAAGATCAGATATTCAGGGTTAGAGCATTGAAGCACAATGATAAATGGATAGCCTTTAAACCTGATACACCCATAAGTCATTTGGCTCTAGACCCTGTGAATTGGAAGTGGTCCAATACAGGAAGGAAAGGAACGACGTATTCTTGTGCTCTCCACACGTTGTCAGTGAAATCCACTTACAGGATGCTTCGCCCAAGAATTATCTTAAAGGATGAAGTAGAGGAAAGGTGGATGAAGCATCTTAATATTAATAAGGAATTATTAAGAAAGATAAAATGGTTCAGTAAGACCAAAATTAAACCTGCAAAAGTGGCTTCACTACAATGGCAAATAGAACATAGATGTCTACCTACAAATAACTGGCTTATAGATAGGACAACATTGGAACAAAGGGGAATAGTGCTTCCCTGGTGTAAATTTTGTAGGACGGCATTTCCATCTAAATTAATTCCTGCGACAATTGAGCATGTCTTCCTTCAATGTCCGGGGGCCATTTGGCTTTGGAGATGGTGGGACCGTATATGGTCTAATTTAGAAACACAAATCCAGTGGCCATGGGATTGGAAAGCCCTTCTTCTTGAAGACTGGTCCCCGGAGTCTATTGACGAATTCTCACAAAATTTGTTCAGCATGGGTAGAAGAGCGGTATTATGGGCCCCCTGCTAGGTGATACCAGGGGCCAGCACATCAAACAACGAAAAACACAAATTTTGACCAAAAAAAAAAAAAAAAAAGACAATTTTGACCAAAAAAAAACAAACAAAAAAGACAATACAACTCCATTGCTGCTGAGCTGGCACCCCTGTTAGGTGATCCCGGGGCCCAGCACATCAAAAATATCGAAACAACCGTTTTCAGGGCATACTCACATGAGGACTCACCTGGATGTATAAGACCGCTTTGCTGACCAGGCCTGGATGCACCCGACCGCAATTACGTCCACAGGGAACAGGAAAAAAAAGTCCTAGTGTGAGTATGCCCTCAATCGGAATACCAATCCGCTCATCTCCATCTCTACCCAGCCAAGAGGGAGCAACAGAACAAAACTAAGGGCGAACTCACACAGGGGCTTTCCTGAATGTATATGACCGCTTATCCGACCAGGAACCAAATGCAACTGACCGCGATTACGTCCACAGAGAAGTTGAAAAGGTCCTCGTGTGACTATGGCCCAAAACAAGGGAAACAACAGCATATGCATTTTTTTCATCAGTCAAATCTCCGTTCAAAAGAGAGATTGAATGAATCCTCCAAAAGAGGAGGGGGGAATCCTGCACAAGTAGAGAGTAGAGAGATCGAAACCTCCCCCAACAGGAAGATTTAGGAGGATAGGGGGTCCTGTCCACCACAAGTAGAGAAATCAACCCCCTCCAGAAGCCCTAACGACTGACATTGAGAGAAGAACATAGCTTTAAAAAAGGATAGGTAATCTTGATAACCACAAGTAGAGAAATCAACCCCCTCCAGAAGCCCTAACGACTGACATTGAGAGAAGAACATAGCTTTAAAAATAAATAAATAAAATAAATAAAAAAAAGTAGAGAAATCAACCCCCTCCAGAAGCCCTAACGACTGAAACTGAGAGAAGACCCCCTCCAGAAGCCCTAACGACTGAAATTGAGAGAAGAATATAGCTTACAAAAAAAAAAAGAAAAAAAAAAGTAGAGAAATCAACCTCCTCCAGAAGCCCTAACGACTGAAACTGAGAGAAGAACATAGCTTTAAAAAAAAAAAAAAAAAAAAAAAAAAAATCATCACCCGCATTCTCATCAGGCATCATCGTCGACAGAAGAGGATGGACCCATCCACAACACGAGCATCGAATCCTCTACAACGGCCGAGGAAGATGGAGTCCTCTCTCTTGTGCGCACTGATCTAGTCTTCCCCCCTTCCCACGTACGTGCACTCCTTCCTCCCCTCCCCTCTTGGGAGGGACTCTTCCACACTCACCTACCTTCTCCTCAGTCCAAGCACGATAGCACACAAAGCGTCCTTTAGACGTCCACCCCAACTCTCCGATTTCATCGCCAAACCTGTCCACTTCCAATGGCCAACCCTCCTCGTTCATGTCGACTACTGCTACTCACACTCCTCTTCCTTCGTGCCCACACCATGCACATCGTTCCTAATCAACATCCACAAGGATGCCCATTCTTTACATATACTCCAAATGGAACAACAACACGATTTAAGTAATAGCCGCTTAAGGAGGAAGAAAATGCAAAAAAAAAAAACAAAGCTGACTTGGTACAGCTTGCAAAAACCTCCTCCCTCCGACTTAAACACACTTTACCATCCACCTCTCTCTCTCTCTCTCTCTCTCTCTCTCTCTCTCTCTCTCTCTCTCTCCTGCCAAAGGTCAACCTCCCTAGCGCTGCATCATCTCTCCCATTTCAGCACGTATGCACCCCCTCTCTCTCTCTCTCTCTCTCTCTCTCTCTCTCTCTTTTCTCCACCTCGCTCTTCACCCCCCAGGTGATACGAAAACCTCTCTCTCTCTCTCTCTCTCTCTCTCTCTCTCTCTCTCTCTCTCTTCTCCACCTACCACTCGCTTTGGTCGCTCTTCTCACCCCCCAGGTGATACGAAAACCCAATCCCCCTCCTCTGTCTCTGCCCCGCCACGTCCCCTCCCTCCTCCTCCTTTCGTGCACTTGTCTTGGGGCCGATCGAGCAACAATACGGAAAGCAACAACACCTAACAATTCATAGACAATGCGGGCACGCCAATATGGCCCAACCAAAGCCTAGTGAAGGTATATAAACGGCTCGCGGCGATCTCCGACTGAACCCAAAGATTATTCGTCGCTACAAATAGAATGATCAGTGAAGATCGGTATTCCTAAAATCGGTGTATAAACCACGGCCTTCTAACACATCAGGATTCTCAACCACTCTATTAAAGTGAAAGTCGAAAAGCGGTAGATCATCTTTATTAGGAAAGTCTGTCAGATACGTTTCTTCATCCTCATCACCTCCTTTTCTCTTCTCTTTTCGTTTCTCTCCTCCCCCTGAGAACCACGAAGAAAGAGTGTTAACGGGAACTACGCCTACCACCCCGGCATTGTCAGCAGAAGTACCAACCGTTCCTCCTCCTCCTCCTCCTCCTCCCTCTCCTTCTTCTCCTCCTCTCTCAGATCCGGAAACAAGCCTCAGACCGACGGTTTTGCCTTTTTTGCCAACGAGAAGCGCTTTCCTATTCGGGAAATTAGGGTAAAGGGTGTACCAACCCCTTTCACCGATGAACCGAACAAACCAAGCACTACATACCCCGGCCTCTCCTGGAAGTTTCACTAACCAATCATTGGTGACCACGTTGCTGAAACATGGGATGAAGCCGGCGCGCTGAAGGAGGTTGCTTGCCCACAGAAGAAACTCCCGCCAATGATGAGCTGACATGGCAGCACCCCACGTGGGGGGCATCTGGTGTCTGAAAAGATGAGAGTCAATTGGGAGAGGAAGGGAGTGATCATGGTCAGAAAGGAAGGGAGGAGGAGGAGGGAGCGGGAGGAATACCTCCTCCTCCTTTGAACTGGCGTCGGCGTTCTCTCTCTCCACCTCCACCTCCTCTTCCTTCCTCCTCTTCTTCTTCCTCTCCTTCTCCTCTTCGGCTAGCTTCGACATAGACCCAGAGTTTGAACCCGACCTCTCAGTCGATGAAGGATCGCCGTAAGCAGCAGCAAGAGGAGGAGGAGGAGGAGGAGGAGGGAGCATTTCAAAAGACAACGGATGCATCGAGATTGCCATTAATCGGCCATCGTACCCTCCTCCTCCTCCTCCTCCTCCTCCTCCGCCAGGACGCATGTAATGTCTAACGGCAGAATCAAGCCACTGGAAGAAGCGGACAGATACGACAGCGTGATCTTCAAGAAAGATCGCAATCTCATCACTGTGCACAGCCGGGTTCCATGCAGTCATCCACTGCCTTGCCCACCCGTAATGCCGATCCCGATCTACGACTTTGACCGCTCCCCTAGACCAGTTAAACGCCTTCGCTGTAGACAAGCATAACGCACGCGCAGCCACGACAGTCGAGTTCTGGGAGTCTGATTCCGATGGCTTGTCAACGAATATATCTATTGACACGTGGGCATCGACTTCCCCCTCTCGACCAGATGATGATGAGTAGTCCGCCGCCAGCAGAGATGTGAGCAGCGACCGTAGACCGTCGGGATTCGCGTACGTTAGAACCTTGATGACATAGGTTGGACCCGGACCGTCCGATCGAGGACGATCGGCTTGATTGCTTGTCCTTGGCGAAGAGAATCTGGGGAACGATGTACACTTCCCATCCCTATTCACCGCCCACAGGCTCACATTCTGCAATCGCTGCTTCTTCATCTCCAGCGCCGCCGCTGCGCGGGAAATCGACGGCCCTGAAACACGAACATGGCTGTTCACTAACACAGCAGGCCATTCTCCATTGTGCTGAGTTGTCTTCTCGACGAAGAACCTCCGCCCATCCGCGACGAGCTGAGGCGGAATCCACCGGAAACGAATGTTCCCGCCGCGGCCAGTCTTCTTCGAGTAATCAACGCTGCTGATCGGGATACGGACCCGGGCGACGAGGCTCTGAACTTCGTTCAGATCCCGATCGCTATCCCGTCTCAAACGGCTTTCAGAACCGGAACCATTACTCTCACCAGATGCTGTCGATCCAGATCCCGATCCCGATCGGTTGGAGCTACTGTTCACCTTCGCCGTCATCATCATGATCACCTCCACCGAGCCGTCTGCTGCATCTGTACCCATATTCCGACTACGTGCAGCCACGGTAAAACCCTTGGACTTGGAGTTCCTTCTCTGATCCTTCTTCCCCTTCCTCTTGCTGTCGTTCTTCACCACGGACTCAGCACCGTCCGCCACTTGAGCAGACAAGACAGCTCCAGAGGAGACCGAAGAGGCGGAGGACGATGAGGGTGATGATGAAGAAGGTGATGATGAAGGCGAATAGCTTCGGTGATTGTGCTGTTCCCTCTTCCGATCGCTCGTCGCCACGGACGCACCCAGCGTCAGTTGAGCAGAACCTGCTGCTCCAGAGGAGAGGGATGAGGAGGAGGAGGAGGGTGATAACGAGGAGGGGGATGATGACGAGGAGGGTGAAGACGGGGGGAAGGCTGAGGAGGAGGTGGCAGCAGAGAACGTGGAGGTCGACGGCGAGGAGGAGGAGGAGGAGGAGGAGGTGGTAAGGGAGAGGAGGGGAGCGGCAGAGTCCCGAGAAGAACGATCAGGGGGGACGACCATATGCAAGTGGCGGCGGGAATGACGTGGTGACTTCTCTGCTTCTTCGTCTTCCTCTCGACGTTCCCTTTTCTCCTCCTCCCCTACTCGTACTACTGGAGGAAGGGGTGATGCATCATCATACCGTGAGTCCTCCGGCGGCGGATGAATTGGCAGCGGCTCGACGTGCTGTCGACTCCTCGAAAGATCGTCGTCTTCGTTGTCATTACCATCACCCTCATCATCACCATCATCATCATCATCATTGGCATCGTCATCAAAGCCAGAGCTTGCCCTGCCCTGCTTGTCGAACGGCCACCGCAGGAGGGAAAGGCGATGGCGGCGCACCCGATCCCAATAGGTCGCGACCGCAGGCCGGCCACCTCGCAAGAACACAAAAGCCTCTGAAATGAGATTACTACCACCGTCGGATCTCGACGACGACCACGATGACGATGACGATGACGACGACGACGATGACGACGATGACCTGTTGTTGTGCAGTTGTGACGATGATGTGTCCTCCGTTTTCTGCACGTCCTCCTCTCTTCCTCTTCCTCTCCTTCTCCTGCTGCTTCTGCTGCTGCTGCTGCTTCTTCTTCTTCTTCTGTCCCCCTCAGGTGTCAGCCATTGCGCCCCCAGAACATCATAAGCAGTCGCATTGATATGAACGAAGGGGTTGTGGAGAAAGAGCGAATCGATCGACGAGACGACGACATTGTACCCCATCGCAAGGATATCGGCCACCAAGGTCGTCCTTGCCGCCGCCACTGCCAGCTCATCATCGCTGAGGGGGATGTCATCTAACGCCATCCCCTGGGCAAGAACCCGCGGCGCAGCAGCCGCGACAGTCCGCCGGCACTTGGCTTCCTTCTCCCCGACTTCGTCGATGCAGATCAGCGCGCTCGCTCCCAGATGCACCACCGCGCCCAACCCCGCAGACGAGAGCCGAATGCGGACGTCATCGTCCGTGACATGGAGGATGTAATTAGTCAGCCCGACGCGGTGCAAGTGACACACCCAGTTCAGGGCGAAATCCACGTGGTCAACCGTGGGCACGCTGGCCACAATGACCGTGCGATCGACCGCTCTTTCCCGGAGGAGAGCAGTGAGATCCCGACTTCCATCGCCGCCGTGCGATCCGACGGATGCTGATGTCTTCCTGTCGCCGCCGCCGCCGCCGGCGGAGAACCCCTCCCCCCCGCCGTCACGCCCATCCCCGTGCGCGTGACGACCACCATCGGATGTCAAAAAAGAGTCCAGATGCCTTCTTAGCCGCGATCCGCTCAATCTCGACCCAGAAGGCCCGTTTGTCGTGCCACGTGGGACGACGTCATCAGTCAACGTGTTGTCCTTCATCACCTCTTTCTTCTCGTGCAGGTTGTACATTCCTGTCCGTACCACCGTAAGATTGGCCACGCCAACGACGGATCCGACGATCACGAGTACGCAGATGAAGGTCCCCAACTTACGAATGACGACATCAAGTCGATAGCCTCTCGAGTTCCCCCCGGCGCCGCTGAGAGGGGAACTGCTGGGAAACCGACCACGAGTCATCATCATAATACCCTCTCCTCTCATTCTTCTTCCTCCTCCTCCTCCTCCTCCTCCTCCTTCTCCTCTACCTCCTCGGACGTCTATTCCTAGGCCCCCTTGTCCTCCAGCTTCTCCTAATTGAACGGATTGATGACATGGATCGGTCGGGATCGGTGTTCGACCCGCCAAATTGAACGCTTTACGCGGGAGACGCATATCGCAAGCTCTCACGGCATTGCCGCGCTACCATCATCATCCCAGTTACTCCCCCCTCCTAATCAGTCAATCATCCAATCAATCATCCAATCAATCAACCGACCAATCAAGGCAAGGTATACGATGATAGACCCATCAGAGCGGACACACAGCAGTTGTCGTCGCGGAAGGGAGACCTCTCCCTTCTATGCACCCATCTTCCAATCAATCCACCACCTCGTACCCAACAACAGCTAAAATCTCCGACCGATCGCGTTTGACCTACCTATCTGTCGATCAGGCAACCACAATCACAACAACTCAACGCTACCGCCACTCAAGATGGACACATTTGGCAATCAATCAATCGACCAGTCAATTGATCTGCCAATCAATCAATCCATCAATCGACCAGCCGCTGGTGTGTTAAGCTAGCTACTCAGATTCCTTCCAAGTCCACTCGAACACATATCGCTCGATCACACAGTTCGCCGGCCAATCAGTACTCTGTCTCCGAGCATCGGCATCGGCATCCATAAGCGTGGGATAAACAAAACGTCTATCAGCAGGACCTTACCGCATCAATCGAATCCCCTACAGCTAGCAGTCGGCGGTGAGGGGGAGCATCATCATTACTGTAATTGCCCCCTGTAAATTGGCGGTGGGGAAGTATCGTATCTAATTAAGCCCCCCCCTATATAAAGGTAAGAAACACGTGACGGAATGGGTTACCGACTTCAAGAAGAAGGCCCAACAACAAACACTTCAACAACTCGATCAATCAAAGTCGAACAGTTAACTGAAGCATTCGGTCATCCACGTGTCGTTCGTTCTTTGGCTTACAATGCCGCGATCGATCAAAATATCCATAAACAGATCGTCCACGTCATGAAATTAAACCCCCAATCAATCAACCAACTAACGAGAGAACCCCTTCGTCAGAATGAATCAATCAACCAATCAATCAATCAATCAATCAATCAATCAACCTTACAGTCGATCAATCAATCAATCAATCAACCAGTCAAATCAATCAATCGACCAGTCCATCAATTAATCAACCAGTCAATCAATCAATCGATCAATCAACCATCCAATCAATTAACTAATCAATCAATTAATCAATCAAATGATTAACCGATTCGGCAGCGGCTAGTGGCCAATACATCGACGAGTGAGATTGCTGTCAACAAGTCAAAAAAGGGGGGGCGGGGGGAGGGGTGGGAGGAGGGAGGAGAGGGACGGAAAATATCCACAATTGAAAGCTACAAAAAAAAAAAAATCGATCACCAATCAGCGCAACGGCCCTTAATTCGAGAAGATAGAGGTAACAGCTCGCTTCTTCAGAAGACACACAGTGAAAATTGTGACCCTCAGTAAAACACCACGCAGGTTGCTTGGCGGTGAAAAAGTCACACAGCAAAATAACTATAGCGACGATAGTAAAAACTTCGCTTTGCGGGCGAAGGGAAAGTTCCACAGCAAAAAAACAATTATTTTTGAACACAGCGCACCCTTTTCCAAAGAGCTCCTCTCTATGTCTCACAGGACTTGAGGTCAAGAAAAAGAGAACACGTCGCCTTGGGATCCGACCCCTGCGTGTTATAACATCATCATCCTCAGCTTGCCGTCAAAAAATGTCAGGAATTTTCAGGAAAAAATTTTCAGGAATTTCCTCTCCAATTAATCTTCCCAAAAACAAATCACGACTGGCAAAGTTCCTCTTGAAAAAAAAAAAAAAAAAAGAATGATGTTCGTCGTCCCACTGAAACAGTTTGAGCCCCCCTCGCCTGCCTCTCTCCCTTACTCCTTTATCTCGGCCCGTACGTAAGACGTGAATTAAAATTCACATATGCAAAATGAAAGATGGTCACCGAGATAGAATTTAAATTGGAAACAAAAAAAAAAAAAGCGGACGAAGGAAAAGGAAGCGAAGAGATCACTTACAGTACGATAATCCCTGCCTGCCTGTCAATACAATTACCGTATAACTTTTTGAATCATCAGTTCTATACCGGACCAATCACTCCGTGCTCGGGTAAATCGTAGAGTTACTGTGGCTATAGTAATTAATTACTAATTACGTGTAGCGCGGGAAACTTCGGGTGAAAAATCACTTGGTATCGGAACTGCAATTGGAGAAGAAAGGGAAAGAGAGCAGAAAACGCGAATTCGAAAGGGGAGAGAGAAACAGAGAGAGAAACAGAGAGAGAAACAGAGAGCGAAACAGGGAGAGAGAGAGAGAAAGGGAGCAAGATACTGCAAAAATCACATCGATCGGACAAAATCCGATGTTGTCGTTGTCACTCACATTACGTCGATAATTCTAGACAGGTACTCACAACCAGCGCTTTTCTTCCTCTCTCTCTCTCTCTCTCTCTCTCTCTCTCTCTCTCTCTCTCTCTACTGTCTATTTGTTCGCCATCTTCGTCTGCAGCCACGCATCCGACTGCAAGACCGATACCCAACACACCACCCACCCACCCCCGCGAGTTGGAAGACTCGTCGAGCAGCGCAAGGAACGCTTACGGCCGAATCGAGACGGATCTGCGGGCAGATACATAAAAGTCGGTACCGCGATTGACATCAGATCTAGCAGAAACGAACTGGTTGGGGAGTCCGAGGAAAAGCAGAGCTACGAATATGTCTCCACCGAGACGGATTTGCGAACAGATACGTCAACAACTCCGGCGCTGCCAGTGACAGTACGCCGCCATCTGCTATCCTTTCCTGGCTCCTGGATTTGCCCCACTACAGAAAACGTTCACCACAGAATTCGGACGGAAATGCAGTCAGATTCATTGAGGCCGCTTTTGCGAATATACGTCGTACGCCGACTACCACACTTTCTTTGTTTCTGCCTCTTCTTCATCCATCCTCCCTTTCGGGCCGAATCCCAACTCACACGCAGAAGGAGAGCTCAAGGTGACGACCATTGACAAATCGAGGATCATTTGCGACCGTTGCTTAAGACACCAAGACGTCGACTTTCCTCCTAGATCCTCCTCTTCCTCCTCTTCCTCCTCCTCCTCTTCCACCTCCTCCTCCTCCCCTTGTCCTCTTCCTCCTCTTCTTCGGCTTCGACGCCCAAATCTTTTCGCCCTTCCCGTAATTCAATACAACGTGGCGTCGACTCCCCTCCTATGCTTCTCCTCCTCTTCCCCCTCTTCCTCCTCCTCCTCCTCTTCTAAGGGCCTCGCCACACAGGCTGTCGAAATGTGCAAAACGAGAATGAACTTCCCGCTAGAATATGGCCAGATGCACCTGCCACATTTTTGTCGTTTTCACATTTGGACAGGCTGTGTGGCGAGGCCCTAATTCCTCCTCCTTTTCCGCTTTCTTCTTCTGATTAAACGCCTCGACTTTGTCGTCTTTCCGCTCGCTGATATATCTGATATTATCCCGATCCCAACACGGCGAAGGCTTCCTCCTTCAGCCTATCCAGGCCGACTGTAGACCGGGATCTGCCATCTACTCTGTTAAATTTTGTTATTTTTCTCCTTGCAGAAAGGAGGAGGCTCGGGGGTGACCGCGGGGGGGAAGGAGGTAACAGCTAGCTACTTAGTTTCTGCGTTTCCTCTGGGGATCTCTCCGAATGGTGGACAGCATTAATTAGGTCATCGCCACACCGCTCTGGAAATGTGTAAAAATGAGAGTGAACTTCCCGCTAGAACATGGCCAGATGCACCCGCCACATTTTTATCGTTCTCACATATCGAGAGTAGTGTGGCGACGCCCTTACCATCATCACCCGTTCGTTTGGGTCAATTTTTTTTATTTACATCGATCACACTAATGAACTTAACCGCCATCCATCAAGAGGCAGTGGCTGATGACCACTCAAGGGCCAATACATCACTTATCTACGGTCAACGACCCATGATGGGAGTGCAACCCTTCCTGACGACCAGAAGCCTCCTCCCGATCCCGACCGATATCAATGTATGTTGCGATCAGCTCTGGCGGCGCACCAATCTGCAGCCGTCGAGAGGTATCTGCTCGCGTTCCCTCACTTTCCCCCGGCGGCAGCGGCGGAGGCGGAGGCGGAGGCGGAGGCGGCGACCAAAGATGGCAGTGGCAATGATGGCATGGCGGTGTTGTAAGATCAACGGCGACAAATCCTTCATCCAGAGTAATCGACGACTCCAGCAGACAAAACGACACCCTTTACCACGGCGATGGAAGGCGGCATGGAATGAGAAAGACAAGTGTCGCTCGTCGGAGGCGACGGCGGCTTTGTCGAGATAGCGAAGGCTATGGAGACCGGATCTACGTGTCGATGCCGACGCCGTGCCACAGGAGTCTTCCGTGACACCCACGGCGGGACTGGCGGAGGCGGAGGCGGAGGCGGAGGTTCGTGAAGATGGCGACGACGATAGAGACGGGGTCCACGTGGCGATTGCACGGAAGATAATGCGGACCGGTGTCGACAAACACAGAAAAACCGTCGAGAGCGAAAGCTACCGCGCATAACAGGCTGAGATAGACGGCGACACAGAGAGAGAGAGAGAGAGAGAGAGAGAGAGAGAGAGAGAGAGAGAGAGTAGGTGTGTGTGTCTCTCACGCATTTACAGGCTGAGATCGACGGCGATGGCGAGAGAGAGAGAGAGAGAGAGTACGTGTGAGTGTCTCTCACGCATTTACCGAGGGTAATATGGTATGGAAATGTCCAGACAGATGTGCCTGACAGCTGATGTGCCTGACAGTGGCCGGTTTCTTTTTTTTTTGTTCTTCTTTTTTTTACGCTATATTCTTCTCTCAAATCTTTTCATCATCTTTCAAATTCTTTCAATTCACCTTCACTACCTACCTACCACTACTCCTAAGGTTGAGACAGGGGACCCCTGCAAGCGGGTTTTCCTCCGCCGACGACTTCTCTCCTGACGCGTCAGAATCGATCAGTCGATCAGAAATCTGGCGCCGATCAGTCCTCGACCCGACCGCCGGTACCGTCGTCACCAACTTCGGCCGAGATCCCACTGGCAAAAACTGGAATAAGTGACTGAATATGGACGTGTTTGTGTAGAGGTGCAAAAGACGGTAATTGATCTGCTTTTCTGCATCGTTTCGTGGAACGCGTCCTGATTCAGACACTTATTTCAATCCTCTTTGCCAGTGGGATCTGGCCCTTCGTTCACACTTCAGGGTATCTGGCCTAGAGATCCACTCCAGAGATCGTCACCGCTCAGTACACGTCCCGAAAATGAGGGCAAATACAGACCCTCGAACAGTTGAATACAGACCCAAGTTTTCGTCTTTTTGTTTTGTTTTTGGGAATGCAGACCCGAGGTCGAATCCAGTCGCAATCAGATGAACAGATGAACAGATAAAATATGAACCTGAATTACCTGGCGCCAGTCAGTTGAAAGATGATATCACAAGGCTGTCGACTCTGCATACTCTGAGTGCCCAGCCCTGACAGCTGAGCAGCAGCAAAAAATGGCAAAGAAACTTTCCATCCTAAGGCTTGGATCCCACTGGCCGGCAGCTGGAAACTGGTGTTGGCCATAAAAAATGGCCGACCGTGGTTGGAAACATTCATCCTCGTTTCATTGGGACCCCACCGCAGGCAGATAGTTTGGCATGGAAAAGTTTGGGCATACCCGAATAGGAAATCGCACCGGGGTGTTTCCCAAAAAGGCAAGCCCCGCGGGGGCTGTGGTCCATGGTCTGCTTGCGCAGCCAATGAAGTGTCTCCAAAACGCCACGACGTCCAGCCCGATCCTGGAAACTCTTTTCCATGCCCCCCCCCCCTACTCGTCTGGAGCCGTCCTTGGAAACTGTTTGGAAACTCGTTGCCAACAATTTCCAGACCGCGAGCCGAGTAGAAACGGCCCGTCAGCTTTTCCACGACCTCTTTCCAACCGCAGTGGGGTCTGAAATTCCTTTCCGGGCTGACTTTCCACGACGGTTTCCAACACCTGTGGGGTCTGAAAAACACTTCCTCGCCAAAACTTTTCCACGCCGCCGGCCAGTGGGATCCTAAATTTTTTAGGACCAGTCCTAAAGGTTTTTTAGGATTTCGTGCGGAGTGGTTGCATGCGATCCTAAAAATCGTCTTTTAGGACTCGTCCTAAAAGTTGTCCTGCGGCCTGTTTTATATGCGTATACGCGGCCGCGTCGTCGATGTCCGTCCGCTCGTAGGGTGGTGTCCGTGGTACACAGCGCGGTAGGCCGTTGGCGTGCGGGTGTCTTCGGCGGGAAGCGAGCGTTTCGTACAGTTCGAAAATTCGAATTCAAATTTTCGCGGAGGGCTGGGCTGGGGGGGGGGTGTGGGGGGTCGGTTCTGCTTGGTGCAGGACTGGCAGGCGACGAAAGACGTCCGAAAGATGGCATTGGCGAACCTTTCGCCGAGAGTATTCATAAGTGGCGGCTGCGCGAGTGGTGAGCAAGCGGGCGCATGTCGAGCAGCGGTGCAGCTTGTCCTCCTCCTCCGCTGGGCTACCTTCCTCCATTGTCCGCGAGCGTGCGCATATTGATGTCAGGCTTCTGTGTTGTCTTCCACCATCGTCGACCATTGGCGTGCGCGGTTTCATCCGTCAACGAGCACCAGCGGGCGCAGCTTCGTGTACGACGGGCGTAGTATTCAACTGCTAACGTGGAGAGCAGCGTCCTGTTCGGTCGGCTCGGGCGTGCCTATTCTCCTGTGGCGGCGGCGAGCAGCAGCGACGTGCTCGGGAGACGTGTGCGTGGTGTCGTTCCTCATCGCGGAGCAGCGGCCGCATCTTTTGGTCCCTGACGCGAGGCGCACTATGGCATAGTTGGGCACGTGGCGCCTTCGGCCGGTCCAGCGAGCAAAGTGTTTGGCAGGCTGTCGACGAAGCGGGCGTTGAACGGAGATGGACGTTTGCGGACGTGGCGAAGGTCTGCGTGAAGAGGAGAGAGAAGTCGTGGCAATGGCCGTGACAGTTGTTGTCTTGAATAACATGAGCGAAATGTCGTCCTTCAGCCGCAACATGCGTTTGCAGCTTCGTAAACGTAGAGCGCTCTTGCAGAGCGTTGTGGAAGCGTCGGATTGCGTGGCAACGTGCGAGGTTGTAGTGCAGATGTGTTCCGCTCTCGACTCTGGCGTTTTCCCACACCAGACACCGCGTTGGTGGATCAAACGACGCACTGGCGGGACATGGGAGGACCTACGCCTGTGTGACGACGCCACAGAGGACTACTACAAGGAGAAGCTGCGTATGTCGAGGGCGATGTTCAACCAGATTGTAGTCGCCTGCGCCGCGCACGTGGAGAAGATTGTCACGCATTACAGGATGCCGCTGCCAGTCGAGCAGGTGATCGTTTTCGCGTTGTACAGATGGGCGTCGAGGGAAACGTACGAGAGCGGGACGTCGGCCTTCAGTATCGGCAGGGCGACCTGCCTGCAGGCCGTCCGCGACGTCACTGCGGCGCTGCTAAATGCCTACCCCGACGCGATCAAGTGGCCTGTTGGGCGTAGACGTGCACAGATTCTACACGTGTTCCGGGATAAGGGTTTCCTGAACTGCTTCGGCGCCATCGATTGCACCCATATCTACATTGACAAGCCAGCAGAAGCACCGTCCGTCAACTACTACGACCGCAAACAGAAGTTCTCCGTCCAAGCGCAGGTCGTCGTCGATTTAGATTTGCGTATCCTGGACGTCCACGTCGGATATCCGGGAAGTGTCCACGACGTCTGTGTACTACACAATTCCCATCTGTGGAGGCGGGCGGAAAGCGGCGACCTTTTCGATGCACCTCCGGAGAATCTCCCACACGGTGTGGTTACGTAAGGTTACCTGCTGGGCGACAACGGCTACCCGGTTGTGTGTCCATGGATCATCCAACCGTATGGAGGAATCTTCCAGGGTCTGGATGAAGAGCATTTTGACACGCGGCAGAAGGTGGCGCGGGGGTGTGTGGAGAGGGCGTTTGGGCGACTAAAGTGCATGTGGCGTCTCTTTTTGCGCACCCACAAGACGAACCTTCAGACCTTGCCACAGCAATTCGTGGCCATCTGCACTCTCCACAACATCCTCCTGGACGCGGGTGTCGATTTTGACGAGAACCTCCTGTGGGAGGTTGACGAGAACGACTTTCGGTGGAGAGTCGACTTGGGCATTGTGGGGAACGGCGGTGGTGGGCGGCGGCAGTGCACCAACGTCGACGGCGACTTGTTGCGGGATGCGCTTCGAGACCGCCTGACTTTAATGTAGATGCACACAGAAGAACAAGGGGATGGTCGGATTGGACGAAGGGGGTCGGTAGGAAGGAGGTAGTGTTTCTGAAGCTCTGGGATGTTTAGCGTGGTCGCCCCACTTGCGTTCCCCTCCCCTCCTGTGTGGCGGTTTGTTGGCCGCCACTGAGTTCATGTCTCGCGCGAAGTCGCGTTGTAGCCTGTGACGCCGCCTGGTAGTCGGCATTGTAGGCGTCAGTCGTGTTGGAAGTTTCGACGGTGGGGAGACCACTAGGGTGTGTAGCGCTGCGTTGTCTTTTTGGTGTGCTTCGTGCATTTGTTCGACGTTTTAATATATGGACTTTGTTTTTTTTTTTCCGTTCTACGAACCTCTTTTTTGTCGATCTACAATTGTTTGAGGTCTGTCAATGACTGGCACACATTCGGTGCACTTCTTAAATCTGTGGAATTACTAACAATGCAGGCATTCAGATTGTATGTCCATGTTGTTCATCTTCAACGTCATAATTCTCAAGCAAATAGATTGCATGGCCAAACTCTTCTTCTTCAATGTCATGTTTTCTGAAGCGAACGTAATGGTATGTTCGGACGACGTGGAAAAAAAGAAAAAAAAAAAAAAAAAAAAAAAAAATGACGATTTGGGTTTTCCTTTGATGTAGATGCATTTGGAAACCAACGAAAAGGGGATAAAATAAAATACATGCAAAAGAAGCATAACATGAATGATGGCAAACAAAGCACGACCCATTCGTGAGAAAAGGACAGCGCGTTCAAAACGCATCGTAAAAACAAAGAACACATATTTGAACAATGTGGCTTGTGAATGGTATTCTTCCCCGAATGATCATGAAGACAGCGTCGGAAGATTGAACGTGCACCGCAAATTGCGGAATACATGACTATCGCAAAGACCCCTGCTAAACCAAAGCACGTCATCCGCCATCGTGCGAATAGATGTCGCCTTACTAAAAAATAAAAAAAAAGAAACGACAAGCAGAAGCAGATATCTGCTGCAACACCCGCCATCGCGCGAAGAGATGTCGCCTTGCAAAAAAAAACAAAAAACAAAACGACAAGCAGAAGCAGATATATGCAATAACACGAAAAGACCCCTGCTGAACCGATCGCACTTCCAGTCCACTGTATTTACAACGTCGAGCAGCGCCCTGCTCGACCAAAAACAAACACAAAAAGTGCCTTGCCCGCGTCACCTCCGACGGGTTATCATCTTCGTTATCGTCATTATCATCATCATCGTCGTCATCATCGCCGTCGTGGTCATCATCATCGTATTCGTCATCATCATCATCACCATCATCATCATCACCATCATCATCATCATCAACATCATCATCATCGTCATCGTCATCATCATCATCATCATCATCATCATCGCCATCGACGTCATCATCACCATCATCATCATCGTGGTCGTCATCATCATCATCATCCTCGCCATCATCATCATCATCATCATCATCATCATCATCATCCTCGCTATCATCATCATCATCATCATCGTCATCGTCGTCGTCATCATCCACGTCGTCATCATCATCACCGTCAGCACCCTCTTCCGCAGCGGCGCGGCCATCGTTGTGTGGGGAGCGTTGTCGAATAGGGCATCATCACGCGTGGGCATCCTCTTCCGCAGACTGCCTGCACATGTACTAGACGTGCGTTGTTCTTCTCTTCAATGTCTCCCTCTGCTGCGCGCCGCCGTCGTGCCGTACTCGCCCGAACCGACGTCCCCATGGCGTCATCAGCACGCGTCGCTATCGTCCCCGTCGTGATTGTGCAGCACCTTCGAGGTTATCGCGGCGTGATGAGGCCTCGGTGTCCAGGCTGCCACGAAAGTCCCACCCCCCGCCGACGCACACCATCGTCGTCGTCGTCGTCCTCCTCCTCCCGGGTGGCGTTCAGCTGTCTTCGGCATCATCATCGTCGTCGTCGTCGTCCTCCTCCTCCCGGGTGGCGTTCAGCTGTCTTCGGCATCATCATCGTCGTCGTCGTCGTCCTCGCACGCCGGAGGGCCTGTGCCCAACCATTCAAGCCCTCTCGCCTCGTCGGGTCCACTCAAACTCGCGTCATGGCCGAATCTCACCCCGCACTTAGCCCAGTCCGGGATGAAATTGGGCGCGTGGCCCAACGTCAACTGCGCTTTCCCCAGTCGCTCGGTTGCGGCGTTCGTGGCGGCCAAGGTGTGGCGACGGTGATCGAAGATGCGGTGCATGGACGCCACCATAACGGGCTTTGCGACGAGGTTGCAGAAGTAGAAAGCTTCGTAGTGAGACCTCGGATCGTCTCCCGCTAATCGCATTATCCACATGGCAGCCGCCAAGAGGACCTTGAAGCTCTCCGCAACACGGGACAAACGGTCCTGACTTTTGCATCCTCCATCCATCGCGTTCCCTATTTCTACCGCCGCGCTGAACGCAACAATCAGTCGCTTGACAGCCGCTTCCTGGTAAGTAGCCATGTCGTCATCCCGAGGCATGTCTTCGATGTAAGCACCTGCGTACCCCAGAGGCAGGTCCATCCCGAGCTCCAGAGTGTGCGCGCAAATGGCGGGGCTGATGACGTTGCTCCAGTCCTCTCCGAGCCACATCGCGCGCGCGAAGTCCGTGGCCACCGATTCGAGGAGGTACTGGAAGGCGAGAGTGTACCCCCTCTCCCTGCTTCTGGACTTGAAGACCCATTCGTGCAGAACACGCATCACCGCGTTCTGGAACTTCAACGCGCGATCAGTCGCTCCCTGCAACTGCGCGGAATCAGTGAGCCTCGTCACCGTGACGTTCGACCTCGGCAAGGCTACACTTCTCGGGACCTTCGGCAAAGGACCTCCTCTGGCGATGGCGACGAGGTACTCCCGTGCGTCGTTCACAATGTTGTACAGCCTGCGGCCCTCCCCCGACGTCCAGAACGACTTGTCGTCCACCCATAGTTTCGCCCGATCAACCAGCTCTTTGACCACTCCACCTTTGCGGACCCTGTTAACAAGTGGCTCGTCGTCCTCCACCACCTTTCTCTTCTCCGCGCGGGGGATCTCCAATGTCCTCGTCGCCTCCTCGGCCTTCCGCCCCCCTCCTCCCGTTCCACGAGGTGTGTCCGCCGCTTCGTCGACGACCGCAGCGGCGCCGCGAACCTGCGCCTGATCTCCAAGCATGGACGCATCTCCTGCACCGGCAGATCCTCTCTCGCCAACTGCTTGTTGTACATGTGGCGTCGCCGCACCGCCAGATCCTCATTCGCCGACTGCTTGTTGCACACGTGGCGTCGCCGCAGATGTCCCGGTTCCTGCATCTTCGCGATGTCTCCCTTGTGGCGTCGTTACAAGTATGATCTGGTCGTGCTCCATTCGCGCCACCTCCTCCATAGCGGGGTATCCCGTCTCGTTGTGGCCTTCGCCGTCGCTTGGTCTTCCCCAACCGTCGCCGTCCAAGTGCGCGCCGCTGACAGAACTCGCGTCCTGAAGTGACCGTTTCGTCCTCGTCATGTGACGTCCCCCACCTAAACCGCCCGCCGTCTGTTAAGTGACTGCATCACGTTTTTTGCCATGAGCTTCACCGCCGCCTCCTCGCCTCGGAGCCATTATCTGCCACCGCGAAAGCTGAAGCGGGAAGATGCGGCGCCGTCCGTCGAATGCCGCACAAGGGCACAGCGATGGATATGAGTTAATGAACTCCACGGTCGACGTCCACATGACGGATCAATGCGCAGACTGCTTGACGCGAAAAGACGAACGCGACTCAACAACGACAACCGATGATCGAAGGCGTGGTGGACGACAGCGCAGACGATTGTGCCGTTTCCGGAAAACGACAGGCCATGGCGATGGCGAAGAGTTCTCTGATGACGACGACGCGCACAGAGCAGGCGACGTGCACCAGCGGGCCTTAACTACAACGCAGCTTCTGCACCACTGCGGAGGGACTGGCAGGAGCGGACTTAGGTGGCACGAATTTGGAGGGAGTGATCGATGGCACACTGCGCAGATTGCGGTTAGCGTTCGCGGGCTGGGTTAAATAATGTGTCCGTGCACCATGGCAATGCCCACCCGAACCCCCGAAAAAAAACACCAATCTTTACGCCCCCCCCCCCACAAACCCCCAAACCCTCATTCGGAGAAGCATCCTTTTATTTTTTTAAAGACGATATTAAATTTCTGTTGATTCCGACGGAATTCTATACACCCAACCAACCCAACAACAACCCTCCCCATGTGATCCGCCATGCATGGACCGACCCGACGCCTAGTACAACCCCACTGTGTTACTATCTGCGCCGATCCCCCACGACGGCTCGCCTTGCAACAACGCATGCCTTCCGCGGCAGCCCTCCCCGAAAACCTTCAACTGCATCCTCAACAAAGACATCAAACCCCGATAAATGGGGAAACAAAAAAATACAAATAAGAAAGGAAAACAAATCGCTGACACTACACTTCGCCACCACGAAGGTCATTTGCGACGTCGACGGCTGTACATGGACATCGGTCTCGAAAACGGGCTACATCACTACAACTCGCCATCAAACCACCCTCGGCTACCGCCGACGACATTGCTACAATCTCTAACGACCGTTATGCTCCACTGGCAATCTGCCGATGATGATAACAATGAATGAACATCATCTCATAGACGATCCGACGGCTTACATCGTAGAGCGACCACGGATGGCGGCAGCGATCTCCATCAAGGCGTGGCACACCATCCTCTGCGTTTCATCGGACGCTTCGTAGTGCTCTTTTTGAACTGCAACTTCCTGGTCGAGGATGTCACACTGCCTCGTCAAAACGCTGCATTGTCGCTTGCTGGAGGACTCCATCGTCGAGGACATCAGTGCGCCGTGCCGATCCATGACGTCGGTGATGGACTCCAGCGCCTGCTGTCGCGCGTTCTTCCGCTTCATGCTTCGGGCCCCGCTGCCTACATTGTTGTCGGACTCCCTCGGCGAAGAACGTTCTTCCGCCCACCCATCATCGGCCGCCTCACTACTGACAGACTCCCCGCTGCCCGCTCCTCGTCTCGGCAACTGCACGCCGTCCGGATTACCTGTGTCTGCGATGTTGGGAGGGAAAATGGTGTGGTTTCCCAGCATGCCTCCATGGATCTCGTTGTAGAGCGCTCTCACCATCCGAAACTTGAAATTGTGGTCCTTCCTCTCTTCATTTGACAGCCTGAAGAAATCTGCCTCGCCGCCGGCATTCTGGAACCTTTGTATCTTCTTGTAGTTCTGGAATAGATTGTCCGACTTCTTCATGCAGTCATCGGCCTCTCTAGGACAGCCCGCGTTCGCCATCTGTTTCGCGATGTCCTCCCACTTCCATTCTTTCGTTCGCATTCGACTGTAGCTGTGCCCAAGGCCGGCAAGGTGCATGTCCTGCTCCCGCTTGCAGCGCACCAGGAGCAGTTGATCGTCTGTGGACCAATACGCCGCTGATTTTCCGCCATCGTCGCCATCGGCTACTCTGCTGCCACGCCCTGCGAATTGACCTCGACCACCACCTCTGCCGCGTCCTCTCCCCCTCCCACCCGCCTTCCCCAAAGGCCGAATAGGCGCATCGCTGTCGTCATCAACGGCTTCGACGTCCTCCCTGTATCCATCGTCGGCATCGTCGCCAGCACCGCCATTCTCGCCAACACCATTGCTGTGTGCCCTCATGTTCGACACTCCGTCTGTTATGTTCTCCACCGTAGGCTGCGGACGCACCACCGGTCTGCAAGCGGGATCGCCTCTGAATTCATCATCGGGCGTGGGTGCTGGGTTGGATATATTCGATCGCCCAACGCTGTTGCGGGCGGGCGCTGCCGCGACTCCGCTGATGCGTGTGGCTGCTGCAGATACCTCGCTGCGTGCGGGCAATGTCTTTCGTAGTGGATCGAAGGACGGCGTGCTCGCTCCACGCTGGCGCGCTGTCGATGACGGCCCGACATGTGCAGTAAGGGAAGCACCGCCACGAAGTGTCGACTGTTCCGTGTGCTCTTCTCGCGGACGTTGCAGGGAATGTGGCGAAGGTTGCTCTTCGATGATGAATGTCCGGCTAGCCTCTCTCGCGCTGTCCGACGACAACCGGAACCTCAGATCAACTTCTCCGTCGTCGTCGCGGTCCAAGCCTGCTTCCGGGAGGGATGTGAACTCACCGCCTTCCTTGTTGGCCGACCCTCCTGCTATCAACGTCTGCGAAAACAACAACTGGGTCGATCCGCTGGCCAAAGCCAACGTCCCCAGTTCCTCCGCCTCCACCTCCTCGTCCGATGGGGGCAGCGGCGTCTCCCACGACTGCAGATGGCTATACGCTGACGGATCGTACCTTTGTCGGGGCGCCTCCGTCGACGGGAGACTTCCGCCCTGACCGACCACTTGTGGCGCGCCTGCCTGCGTCTTCGCCATCCGTCGGTCCGTGCGTGGCCTTCTCGTTGACGCCCTCCACTTGCGACGTGTGTTCCACGGCAGGCACGACAAAAAGACGTGGAGGAAGACGACAAACAGGAAGACGACGACGACCAGCACCAACAGAGGCAATCTACGCAGCACGTCTGCCATCTAACTCGCCTTCGGGTGCACCACGCAAGCACAGCACTGCGCAACTGCCCTCCCGCATGTCCACAAACGACGCACTGGCGGGACCTTCATATCGCGACAAACGGTGCAGAACACAACAGAGGTGGACGCCGTGAATTCGAAAGTCGACCGTTGGGGCCCGCGCACTGCCCGACTACGAGTACGAGTGTCGTCCTGCGAGCGTGGTCATCCTCCTTTGCTGTGAGCTACGAATGCAACGGTCGATTACAGAAGCCCGCCTTCCGCCCTGACCGACCACTTGTGGCGCACCTGCCTGCATGTTCGCCATCCGTCGGTCCGTGCGTGGCCTTCTCGTTGACGCCCTCCGCTTGCGACGTGTGTACCATGGCCGACACTACAAACAGACGTGGAGGAAGACGACAAACAGGAAGACGACGACGACCAGCACCAGCAGAGGCAATCTACGCAGCACGTCTGCCATCTAACTCGCCTTCGGGTGCACCACGCAAGCACAGTACTACGCAACTGCCCTCCGGCATGTCCACAAATGACGCACTGGCGGGACCTTCATATCGCGACAAACGCCGCAGAACACAACAGAGGTGGACGCCGTGAATTTGAAAGTCGACCGTTGGGGCCTGCGCACTGCCCGACTACGCGTGCGAGTGTCGTCCTGCGAGCGTGGTCATCCTCCTCGGCTGTGAGCTACGAATGCAACGGTCGACTACAGAAGCCCGCCTTCCGCCCTGACCGACCACTTGTGGCGCGCCTGCCTGCATGTTCGCCATCCGTCGGTCCGTGCGTGGCCTTCTCGTTGACGCCCTCCGCTTGCGACGTGTGTTCCACGCCCGACACGACAAACAGACGTGGAAGAAGACGACAAACAGGAAGACGACGACGACCAGCACCAGCAGAGGCAATCTACGCAGCACGTCTGCCATCTAACTCGCCTTCGGGTGCACCATGCAAGCACAGTACTGCGCAACTGCCCTCCCGCATGTCCACAAACGACGCACTGGCGGGACCTTCATATCACGACAAACGCCGCAAAACACAACAGAGGTGGACGCTGTGAATTCGAAGGTCGACCGTTGGGGCCCGCGCACTGCCCGACTACGCATACGAGTGTCGTCCTGCGAGCGTCGCCATCCTCCTCCACTGTGAGCCACGAATGCAACGATCGACCACAGAAGCCACTCCTGAAAGTGCAACACTCCTGGATCCGATGCAAATATGTTTTTATGACTCCCGCATAGCTGCCCCTTTTGTTTTTTGTTCAGTAGTGTGACGGACACCTCTTGAAAATTGAGGGTCTTCAAGTGCTCAGTCGAGCACGCTTGAAACCACCAGTACCTTTCCCCGCTTGAAAAACAAATACGTGAGGGGTCCAGTCGTGCCCAAAAGCACGGGCAGACCGACAACGAGGGGGAGTGGGGAAAGGAAAAGAAAAAGAGAGAAAAAAACGATCACTTCCAGGAGCATGAGGCGGGGAATATTGCACGGGGAAGCAAGAGAGAGAAACAGAGAGAGAGAGAGGTGGTGTCAAGCGCATCGGTCCTACTGGGGGGACCCTCCCGGCCGCGTCACGCAGGATTTTGCAGGACTTCTTTCAAAGCATTGCCTATCCGGCCGAGTGTGCCAGCCATACCTCTCAAGAACCCCTCCGACAAGATAGGGTCACAGGAGGTACAACTTACCTCCACCTACGGTAGCTGTCACCATCCCTTTGGTGAGTGCATCCCCATCGAGCTACCAAACCAGATGCGAAAGCTTCTCAGATGCAATCGTAGAGGTGGCCCAGCCAAGGGCGTTTCTCGTTCGTTGTAGTATAGGGGGTACATGCGGTCAACGCCTTAATCGAACCCGTACGCGAATCGGCGCTCAGGGCACTGATCTCCCAAGCGGGGCTCAACGCCAATCGACTAGGACGGCCAATCTAACCACGCGATACACTTTCAATGATAATAAACTCAACTTCATACATAAGTTGTGCCTAGTCCCTCTTTCCACTTTCAACCCATAACTTTTCGACGACTAAATAAGTAAGCATCGTGCACGAGACTCTGAGTAAATAGCGCGGAGACGCAAACTTTATCATATCGACTAACCAATGCAATGAATATGCAAGCAGTCGCAATAATGGTGTACTATGTGGTACCCATAACCATGCCGTCGTCAATGGTTTTGAGGGTCACTTTCGTCACTCGTGTCGGTTGGCACGCGCCTTGAGGGATTAATCTCATGAGGCTAGACAATCGGGAATGTGATCGCGTGTCCAACCCTCTTCTGCACACTATGGAGAGGAGCGTTGTCGGGGCAAATACCCTGACCCTGACAAGGGTATTTGCCGGGGATTTTCAATGTCAGACACTGTCCGACGCTTTCGTTGAATTGAAGGACTTGATGAAACTGACGCTGCCAAAGTTTATTCAGACCAACCCTATGACCGGGAGACTTAAAGTTTTATAACTTGACGTCGTTGACGTCCGACCAAAATAGCGGTACTCGGCAGTACGACCTGTCGTCCACGGATCCTGACAAGGCCGCAGGGGCATACGGTCGTGGGAATGCTAAGACTATACTTATTTTACCTTGAAAAAAAAAAAATAATAATAACGCGCGGCCACGACCACGCGATTTAGGGCCTTAGAAGGCTAAATAGATGGTCGCGTCGTGTACGTGGCCGTGACATGCGTGTCGAGCCGCCAGGAGGTCACCATGTTGGGGACAGCGTGGCTGGCCAGCGGCTGCGGCTGTTGGAGTACGCAGGCGCAGCGTGTGTGAGGCCATAAGCGATACCTCGCTGGGCTAACCTCTTCATAAGGAAGAGTTGCTCCTATTTCAGCGTGAAAAAGGACCTAGCCCAATTTGGAGCAGCCAGCCTTTTGGCGCGACCGTTTTCGGTCGTGCGATCAATCAGATCACGCGGCTGAAAAACAACCCCGCGAAGATTAGCATCGCCCCTGCGCAAGGATGACACGTATAAATCGAGAAATGAAGCATATATCTTTATTTTTTTTTTTGCTTAGATCCCCCCCCCCTCTCTCTCGAACTGCTAAAAGTCTTTGCACCCGTTCGTTTAGGCGAACGGGTTGCACAAAAGAAAGAAAACGGCGGAGTATCTATCCCGCTTCTAGCCAAAAATTCACCCTTATTTTGCATATTTGGTGAGAAGAGGGATGGGGTCCGTTATCGTGAAGTTGCCCCCTGATTGCATGTGTATTATATTGGTTCGTGGCTTCTCAACTGCACTATGAAGTGTCTTGTCTTGTTGGTAAGCCCTTGAGGCAGAGGGGACAGGCAGCAGCTAGGAGGTAAGTATCCCCCCTGTTCACCTAACTGCATCTGGATTCGAACTTGAGTTTGTGTTTTAAGAGTTCATGAGGTTCCAATGGCCCAGGGGCAAGGTTGGCAGAGAAATGCAAGAAGAAAAAGGGGGAAAATCAGGATCAAAAGTTTAAAAAGCTCATATTTTTGAATTTGTGCTTATAATTTTTTGATTGTCAACATGATTTTTGCTGGCCTTGAAATTTTTTCTCCAGGTAGGTGGGCATCTATCCTACATACGTAAATTTTTTCAAATGTTTTTATTTAGTGACTTTTTATTTAAAAATCATTAAACTCGGGGTACTTTTCGTGTTCCCCCTCCTTCGATCATAAAAAGGCTGCCACAAGTTGTCCCTTTTTTTTTTGCTCACCTTGCAGTGTGAGCAGCAGGGAAAAAGAGTGGGCAGAGGTCCCAAAGTGATGAGCTGCAGCTGAGTGTARCCAAAAAAAAAAAAGAAAAAAAAAAAAAAAGAAAAAGGTCGCGAATCTATTCACAACCTCGGTCCAGATGCAGGGCAAAAAAGCATCTGGACCTTGAAGTGACAGTAGCCTGTTGGGTTCAAGAGTCTGCTGAGAATGGCTTTGTACAACCATTTTGAGTTGCATCTGGCCAGGGGTAATAGCCAGGTGCATCGTTGGGGTTGGGAACCTGATGTTCCCCTAACCTGATGTTCCTAGGGGATAATCAAGGATTTCAACCCTTGATCTTGTTTTTGATCAAGGGCTGAGCCCAACTCCGAATTATTGGTTGGGGGCAAGGCAACTGCCCTCAGCCCTCAGCTGGCTATAAACGTAGCCAGCAGCCAGCCAACCAACATTCATTTGTGGCTGATGCAACTAGTAACTCGCTTGTGTGATTGCTGGCTGCTGGAGAAAGGGTTGCGGCTTGAGAGAGAGACAAGGAGTTGGGTGGAGATCTGCAAGAGGAAGGGGAGAGACTGCTGGAGGTGGCCTTAACTATGAAGTACAACCATAGCCACTATCTCAGCGAAGGGGACGAGCGCTGAAGGTCTACAGAGAGCGTGGGAGTGGGGGCTACCATAGCCACCACTTTACTTGGTGAAGTGTAAGGGAAGTGTTGTGGCTGCCATAGTCGCGGCCGTAAACAACTACGCAGGGGAGGTGCTGTCCGTTCAAACGAGGCATCGACAACCATTTTTCATGAGGTGCTGGGGTGATGCTGCGCGACTTTTTCGGCGGCGGCAAACATTTTTGATAGCAGCGCAGAGGAGTTGCTAGCCATTTGACGACGGGTGGCAGTGTTATTTTTGTGACGGTGTGGAAGCGTCGTCCGTTTACACGACGATTGACATTGATTTTTACGACGGTGCGAAGGTGCTGTCCGTTCGACGCGGTGGGCAACAGAAATCTTGGGTGACGGTATGGAAATGCAGTCCGTTTTTACGGCGGCGGTGGTTCTTTCTTTGGTGGTGCTGGTGTTATGTTGTCTGCTCGACGCGGCAGCGAGGCATTGACGCAGGGGGGGGTGCCACCGAATTGGTGGTGTGTTTTGAGATGGTGCTGACGTTGTGTTGTCCTCGTAACGCGGCGGCAACGCATTGACATTGGTGATGGTGACATGGTGACGCTGGTGGCATGTGACGGTGACGTTGGGACGTTGTCAAACTATGTGGGGGTGATTGTGCATTCAGGTGGTATCGCGGCAAGCGATTATTGTAAGGGGTGGTATGG